AGCCCAAGAGCTCTCCAAGAGAACCCCAAAGAGGACCCAAAAAAGCAAAAATCTGTGATTTTCCTTGTCGTTTTTTTCTCTGTCCTTTGCGCTCTCGCATACTCTCGGGCTTCCGGCGCTCCAAGAGGGCCCCAGAGGCCCCAAAGACGGCCCCAAGACAGCCCGAGAGGCCCCCAAGAGGGCCCCAAGACGGTCCAAGAAAGCCTCAAAATAGCCCCAGAGGCGCCCAAGATCGCCCAAGAGGGCCCCAAGACGGCCCCAAGAGGAGCCCAAGAGGGGGAACACGAACCACCAATTCGAGCCTTCCGTCTCAAGAGGCCTCGAGGAGGCTCCAAGAGGCCCCCAGGAGAGCCCAGGAGGCCCCACGAGGCCTCCAAAAGGCCCAAAAAGAGGACCCAAGAGGCCCCCAAACGGCCCCCAAGAGGCCCCAAGAGGCCACGAACGCGCAGGCAAACGCCTGCGATGGCACAGCACGGACCTGCGGAATAAACGAAGCGATTGGATAAAGAAAAGGCGGTGCTTGTGATGTTACTGGCCAGTCTAGTCAGGCTGGTCAGGCGAGTCCAGCTCTGGCCGCCGCTGGTGCGTTTGTCCAGCCTGAAGCCCCAAAACCGACATCTCAATTGAAAAGTGGCACAACTCAAGCTGAAAAAGATCAAGAACCCTAACAGACCTCCACACATTGAAACAGGATGGACTGGCTTTGAAAGAGGGACGACTTCAAATTCAAAAACAAGCGACTTCACATTGCAGAGCCACCGAATTCAAGTTGCAACGACGGCCTCTCCGATTCCACATAACCGGATCGTTGCGCCAGACCTGCATTGGGTTTCCCATCCCTGGAGAAGCACGGGGGGGGCAGAACAGCCATTGCATGGCAACGCATGGTAGACGTAGGTGCACGTTCATACTTGCGAATACCACTCACGAATCGCCGAATGTTCCTCGAGCCATTCTGGTTGACCAAGGGCCACGACGAGAACCTTGGTCTCGATTCTGGCCTCCCTTCTCTTAGGCGGGAGCAGGACATGCAATTGTTTAAATGGCCAGCCGAACCCGACCCTGATCAAGGCCTGCGCATCCCACGCGTAGCCAAACTGATCGAGGTTGCGTTGGAGTCTACTCTAGGCCGCGCATCGCTGAAAGATCTTTGCGGCCACGTTTTGGCAGAAGTCATGGCATCTGTGACTGCAAAGGCGCGCAGGTCGCCCAATTTGCAAGGTTGCCCTCTGCAGGGACCCAGAGCCCCCCTGGCCACTTGTGGTGCCCAGAAGCACCCCCCCCGGGGACGCACTCGGATCGCTCGCTCCGAAAGGACCCCCCTCCCCAGTTAAAAAAACTGAGATCCTGGCGAAGAGCCCAACCAGATGTAGTTGTGAGTAGCGCGGTTGTGGGTATCCCCAGCGGTGGAGCAAGTTCGGGGGGCACAACATGTTTGAAAGTTGTACCAAAACGGGTGCGGTGCCGCCGTGCGAATGCAGCCACTGAGGCCTTCGGCGGAGCTCCATATGCGGCCACGGAACATGTGAGGAGTGTGCCGAAGTGGGCGCGGTGGCATCCTGCGAACCAACGGCGGCCTTTGGGTGGAACTCCGTGTGGGGCAACGAAACGTGTGAAGGTTGTGCCAAATGGGCGCGGTGGCGCCCTGCGAACCCTCCCACTGCAGCATTCGGTGAAGCTCAACGTGTGAAGGGTGTGCCGACTTAGGCGCGGTGGCGCCATGCGATCCCTCCCACTAGGGCCTCCATCGCAGATCCCTATAGGGCCACACAGCGTGTGTCGGTGCAGCTCGTGGGGCCTCGGAACGTGTGGGCGGTATGCCGAAAAGGGTGCGGTAGAGTCGTGCGATCCCTCCCACTGGGGCCTTCGGTGGAGCTCCATATGGGGCCACGAAACGTGTAAGGGGTGTGACCAAATATGCGCGGGGACGCAATGCGAGCCCTCTCACTGCAGCCTGCGGTGGAGCCCCACTATAGGGCCACGAAACGTGTGAGGAGTATGTCGAAATGGCCGCGGTGATGCCATGCGAACCCACCCTCTGGGACCTTCGGTGCAGCTCCCTACAGGGGGGCACGAAACGTGTGAGGAGTGCGCCGAGTTAGCTGCGGTGGCGCCATGCGAACCCTCCCACTAGGGCCTCCGGTGCAGCTACCCATGGGACCCCATGGGGCCACGAAGCGTGCGCGGGGGTTGACACATGCGACTGCTATGATGGTGATAGTGCTCATGCTGATGTCGATGAGGATGAGGATGAGGATCAGGATGATGATGATGATGATGATGATGATGATGATGATGATGATGATGATGATGATGATGATGATGATGATGATGATGATGATGATGATGATGATGATGATGATGATGATGATGGTGATGCCGATGAAGCTAATGCTGATGATGGTGATGCGGATGATGCAGACGATGTGGATGGTGATGATGATGCTGTTGATGATGACGATGCTGATAATGATAGTGACGATGCTTATGATTATGATTATGGTTATGAGGAGGAGGCGGAGGAAGAGGAGAAGGAGGATTACAATGGTGATGACAATGGTGATT